TCATCACTGCAAAAAGAGCCTAAAGTTACACTGCAACTCTGAAAATTAAAGCATAAATGGGTTTTTCACAGCTGGGAAACCAGTAAAAAAGGAGATTGGAAATCATCTTGTCACTCCCAGTAAACACACTGGTTGCTTCTCTGAGTGCTCTGTGTCTGGCATGGGAAGAATAAGCTGCTCCCTAAAAAGTATAGCTACCTGCTCCCATCCTAGAGACACTGCACCAGCTTCTCTTAGATCCTTCACTCTGGGAACACCACCACTTTAATTTCTGCATATACAGAGAAATTTGTTGGTTTGTATTCCTCACCAGGCCTCTGAACAGAGGACTGCATAATTAACACCTCTTGGCTCCATGTTTGTTTGCATTACTTGTAGTACAGCATTGTTTAAGAATAACAACTGGAAATGTATGACCCTGCTCATAGTTGTACTTTCAGCTTCAATTCAGTTCTACCTTTCTCTAACTCATTAGTGAGAAGTGACGTTATCCATGTATGAGTGTTGTTTTACCTTGTAGGTGTTGTAATTAATGAATCCTCAGGTTCATTTTCTTTTCTAAGTGTTCACTGAATTCTGACATTTCTATAAGGTGTAAGAAACTAGGAAGTAGGAAGCTTGCACGCTTACTTTTTACATACAGTGTAGATTTTCAGGAAGTATAATTTCTGTCGTAAGATTTTTCTTTTAAATCAAACCAAAATTCATACACGTGAATTTACACACCTCCACAACATGTAAGAAAAAACGTGTTGGTGTTCTGGCTTTCTTTCATAGTAGAAAAGTGAGGAGAGAAAGCAAGAACAATAGCTTTTTCATCCTTGCTTCAGATAATTGATAATGTTTCTTTCTAACATACAAAGCACGAAATAAGGAGTGAAAGTTAAAAAACCCAAGTATTGAGATAATTTCTTTCCATAACCTTCAGAACATGAAAATATTTTCTTTTCATAGCTCATTGCTTAGCTTAACTTCTTCCAGTGTCTTTGAAGATCTTTACAACGCATTAGGTGTCGTTAGTTCAGAAGGAGAATGTTTGGCTTATCAAGATTAGGATAGCAATAGTATAAGACCACTTATTTTAGAAAAACAACTCACAGAATTATTAAGCTTAGTAGGAACCAAAACAAAGATTGTATAATAATTTTCACTGGATCATTAGCATTTTAAAAGCCAGGTAAGAAGGTCTCTCATCTGCCGGTCAGATTTAAAGAAAAAAAGATATCCAGCATGGAATTCAGTATGTGTTTTAAATAACAAGTATTATTTACTTAGTCACCTTAATTGGATGAATATCTGAATTTCATGTATAAAACTCCACTGAAATTTTTACAGCAGTGGAGAGCTACAGTCTCCATTTCAAAACACAATTTTTTTCAACAAGAGAATAACCATGAGCAATCCTTTTTGTTTGTTTGTTTGGTTTCCCCATTCAAACTTGTTATTTTCTTTTTAAACTTTTCATATTGTCTCTGTAATTCTTTCTCAAGCTGATATTCCTTTCTTTTCAATGGTTTCTGGAGGCGGTAAGGAAAAATAGGGATAACTACTATATTTAAGAGGAAAATGTTCATTGTGTTTTAATATTTCGTATATTTGAAAACATTTGTTGTGTTAAAAAATTGGCCTATTATCTGTAATAGTCCACATAGTACTTGTAAGGTCTGTTCAAAGAAGTTTCTTTTGTTACATCAGTTTTTACTCAGGGATGTGTGCCAGTGCTCAGAAACTTTGTGTAATTTCTGATCAACTATAAAGAGGCCACGTTTCCTTACACACCTTTGGCAGACTTATATCCTTAAATAATCATCATACAGAAAGCCTATTGCCATACACAGCTTTCACTGCTTTTGTTTTTCAGGGTAATAATCTGTTGACAAATCTGCATGAGTGGAGGGGTAGAAATTCAGGTAGAAAACTTTCTCCATAATTGCAGTTTTATAATATCATAGATTGGAAACAGAGTAAGTGCAATCTGGGGCAATCCGTACTCTTCCTCCTCTCATTGCTCATCCCGCTGTGCTTTGCTCATTCTAAATAATGGATGTCTATCTGGCACTATTAGAAACATCACCTAAAAGATATGCCAATGGGTGAATCTGTGGGATGTATTTAGAACTTCCAGCACACTGCTCTATATCCATCTATTAGAAATGTGTCCTTGTTTGAAAGAATGAGAAAACAATAAGGATTCATTAAAAGCCAACAAGTCACATTCTCTCCTGGTAAAAAATCTATATTGGAGACGTAATGGAAATACAGCTCAGTGCTAGTATTCTGCATCCAAAACCCACTAAAGCTTCTGGTCCTAAGTACAAAAGGTCAACTAACATTTACTGGAAGACTTCTATCAGTTTCTGTGCTTTTCAAATCAGAACTGTTAACTTTCCATAGGTTATAAATTGTTTCCATATTGTTGTTGCCATCATCAGTGTATAAAGTTTTTATTCATTCTTCAGAAGAACAAGCAAAATTTGTCAACGTTTTATTTCATTATAATTGAGAACACATCAAATTGAAGTAATGGCTTTATATAAGACTGTAGGAAAATCAGAAATCAGACAATCAGAAATACACACTCTGAGGACTGTTTATGTAGGTTATATAGGGAGATACGGCTTTTAGCTGTAGCAGTAGTAAGATTTTTAAGCAAAATAAAGAAGAACATCTCTCTTTTTATTCTTAGTTTTTTGCTTCAATGAATTTTATTCTTTTTAATCACATTGAGGAAAGTAACTGAAAACTTGTTTCACACACATTTAATTTGTGCCAAGCTGTTGTAGGTGGATACTCAGCCTACCCTCAGAATATACCCTTCTATGCTTGTAGATATCTCAACAAGGTGGGAAAAGGATCCAGCCCAAAACTGCCTCTTCCTGAGCCTTTGAGAAAGATAGTGATGGTGTTACAAATCACCATCATACTAGACATGTTGTGGTTATCCTAATGATAATATATACCAACGGAAAGCAGGTAAGCACCAAATCACTGGAGAAAATATATTATTTGAAGGAAAAGGGAATATCAAAGATGTAATCTAAGAATGTTAAAAGCTCACAGTTGATCTTCTTATTAAATTACTTATTGCTCCTATTAATATGATCTCTCGTTGCACTTTTTATTAAAGAATAGGTTTAGAAACAGCATTAATATGAGTGTGAGCACATATATATATTTATGCATTTCAGACGATCTCCTTCTTTTTACATATCTCAGAGAAAGAATTTATCATATGCATGGTCCAAATAAAGAATACATTAAAGTTTAGTATCTTCAAAAACAAGATCCATACCCAAATGCTGCAACAAGCTCTACCTGCAAGGTAAACTGAACTTCTCAACTAATTAGATCAAAACTTATAGATGATTGCAGTCCAGACTAACACTTTACAACATGAGGAAAACAAAACCACAGAGTAATACAGTGACTCCCAAACACAGAGCTTTAATGTCTTTGAATGCTTAGGAGACTCTTCTACTGAGTGTCCAGATATTTGACATGTAATTGTCAAAACAGCTGATCAAGCCCTCTACTTAATATGAATAAATATTTAGACAAACAAAATGCAAATCCAAGTATGCCAAGGGACAGATGTGGCAAGTTTTTTATGGCAATATGTGACATTTTCTTGCTATTAGCAGAGGAGGGACAAATATCATCATGTAAACCTAACAGCTGGTACCAGACTGGATGGAACTCAACCAAAGGCTGAGCTATGATCTTCTGGAAGGATGCTGCATTCAGTAGCAGGCTGCACTTAAAGTGAAGGCAGCCGGCAGCTTACCAAGGAATCAGGCTGAATTTGAGCAGAGCACTCCCTCCTATGGAAACACATGTACCAGACAGAGGGGTAGGAAAGTCCGTTCTGCTCACTCATTGAGCAAGGGCTGAGAGCATAGGGCTGTGTCAAGGTGGCAGAGCAATACAAGTGCCCCACAAGAACAGGGTTAGTCGGGCTGCCCACCAGTCCCCATGGTGCCTGCCTGCCATTCAGGACTGCTGTCTGGACCCTGGGCACCCTGCAGAGCACCCTGCACATTGGAGAGCTTGAATGAAGAATGGGGCTGAAAATGGCCAAGCTCTCCTACTGTGGAGAAATCATCACCTGTCCTAATTTTTCCCTCTATACTGCATCCTTCTGTTATAAAAGTGTAGGGGGAAGATTTTCTCTTCTACTATTTGAAACATACTCTTACATTTAATCACTGATTTCATCCTCTGCTCTGATGGTTCTGCAACATTTATGACCAACAATAAAAAAATCTATCAATATCTACAAAGAAGTGACAAATAAGCAGACAACTTCCAAGTAAATCCTATGCTGGTGATCAGCCTTGATACTGCTAACGTACTGTGCAGCAGCAGCTTACTTTCTTTTTTTTTCTAATTCGTCTGAGAACCTGGAACTGCCTTAGCACATCTTAAATGTCACTCTTTCTAGACTACTCATATGCACAGATGAGTGGAGATAAATGCGTAGTATCATAAACACAATACCATCTGAAGGAAAAAGAAGACCTAGCAACTCATGTCTCCACGTAGCACAGGTTGGCAGGTTGGCGCAGACCTCAGGGCTGGCAGATGATGTATGAAATACATCAATTTTCATACAACACAGCTTCTCTCGTTATTTCAGCAGTGGCCCGGTGCAGCTTGCTGAAACATTCAGGATAAAGTGAGTGAAGCCTGTAACAAGATTCTGGTAGAGTCACTGTATGCAAAATGCACAGCAGATTGTGTTATGAATATTATCAGTCTCAGCGGAAAACACTTTCTTTTCCATGTTTGTTAAACCGCACGTTGTTATCACCAGTATCTAAAAAAAGAGACTAGAGACATTTGTAGAATAAATATACTGCTTGTCAATGTATATGATCATTATCTTCTTATCAGTTAAATGTGTATCTGATAAATGCCTTTTCTTAATGCAAAAGTATATATATATATATATTATCGCACTTCTAAAAAGTTAACCATAAAAGCATTTTCACTCAACTTACCAGATGTTGAAGCTGGAAGGAATCTTGCCCTACTCTCTACCTGCTCTCATGTTGGTAATCTCTCTCCCTCTACCTCTCCCCCCGTGCAGAGGTTGCAGTAAACTTAGAAAACTAGCAGGGACAGTGTTTCAAATGACTTAAGAAAGAGAACAGGAACAATTATTTCGTTCTCTTTTTTTCAGATGAGTACAGTACCTTCAGAAAGAAGGAAGGAAGGGAGGGGAGAGGAAGTCAACAACCCTTTGCTTTCCTGCAAAAAAATAAGGAAACAGCAGATAGCAATCTCGTTTTCTCTCAAACAAAATGTTTGGAAAAATAAATACAACCAAACCAAAAGGAATTCCTCAAGTATTATATCTGCATTATTGGCTTCATAAAACCTACTTTACAGCTTGCTATGTGCAACTGCATTAAAACAAATGGATTTCCGAAGTAGCGTCTAGGAGTAAGACGCCCATATCTCACACAGAACAATCAGTCATACGTGAACAATCAGCATACAGATAATGCAGACTTTTTCTTCAGACAAGGAACAACATACATGGAATGAACATACGTGAGCACACATTTCTTATTTCCAGGGTAATAGAGGCACAAATTTCTTAAACTCCCTCTTTAGTGTGATTGTAAGAAAATAGCAGTGGATTATTCACAAAATGCTGTTAAATAAAAAGGGGGACAAGAAGGGCCACAGAAATGATAAGGGTTGTATCTCGATATTAGGGTTGCAGTAACATGTAATTTATCTCGAAGATTTGCAGTATGTGGAAACCGTCTGATTTTTCAAAGCAAAAACTACATGCTGTGTTCTAGAATACATTTTGTACTTCGCTTTGTTTCTTTCTTTCCCCATTAAGCAAATTCTGACAAACAGATACTGGCCAGCTGGCTGCAGTTTTACTCAGGATAAGTTTAGTCCATTGTGCTCCACAGTGGTTTTGTTCACTTGCGTGTTTTCCCCTACCTTTATCTGTTATTTGAAATCCACCTATAGTGAATAGATGTCCCCTTCTTTTCCCAATAATCTGTTTTCAGTCTGACGTTCTTGCACGTAAAAACCTTCACACAGGGCCTGTGTTTTCAGTTTGCTTTGTGACATGGTACCTAAGCAATGCTGCTTGTGGACGAGCGACTCAGCGCTGTGCTCTGTGACAGGCAGGAAAAAAAAGGCATTTTGCATGGCTCTTTCCTATGAAATGTGGATCCAGACTTTGCTTTGGGATTGACAGCTAGATGAATGCTGCTGAGGCAAAATAAGTTACAGCTGTAAATCCATTGTTAGTAGGAGGACAAGTTGGTACCCTACCCCATACAGATAATAAAGACTGCGTTTTTGATTGATTGATACTGAAAAGCTGCAAACCAACATAGGAAGTACTTCGGCACCTGTGATCCTTCACGCAGTTCTTGATGCTATTCCCAGAAGAAGTCTAGCAGCAGTCTAAGTGGAGAATCTTTCATTTTAGTGTTCAGCTACTGGAAGATTTGACTGAGTACACCAGCAGCTGACAGAGCAGTACAGGTGCTGCGGGTGATCTCTGGCCTTACAGCATCACCAACATTTCCTGGTAGTGAGAGGTTAATTGTAAAAGCAAAAGAATGCAATGCACTTAGGGAACGTGCTGTAAATGAAGTACTCTATAATCCCTTGGGAACGGAGTTCCAGTGCATACCAAGCACAGGGAAAGTAGGGAGGCACTAAAAGTAACCAAATTAATGGAGGGTTAGTCTAGTAGTTGAAAAAACTAGGTTTTATTTTGAAGTAGTTTTATTAAAGTTTATTTTATTTTCTTCTTTGCCAGGTGTTCTATATTCATGAGACCCTGAAGACTGCTACCACACATCATTTTGTTTTTCTCTATTGGGAGTACATTGCAGAATGCCTATATTCACCAGCATATGTTCAGAGGCCAGGGAGGGTACGTGACCTCATTGTCACAGATGTCCCTTGCTTCTTCACACAGCAGGTTTCACTTTTAGTTTTGGGGACTGCAAAGCTAAGATGCTGGTAACAAACAACCACATGGCTGCTTCATTATCTAATAAGGTGGCTTTGATATTCAACTGAAGGAGACTTTTTGAGCCTGCTGGTGCTGCAAGGAGAGCAGGAGATGTAAAGGTCTTTGCTCATCTCACCTCAGATCCTCCTGTCAGCAGCCTTTCTACCACCCAAAGCTGGAGCCAGCGTCCTTGAATGAATGCTGTTGCCACTGCCTCATTTCATGCTAGAATGAAACAGAAGGGCAGAGGGAAATTGTCTCCTGTTGATAACCCTCTTTGTGAAACTTGCTAGGCCAAGTGCTCAGGACGCTGTTGCTTCATCAAAGTCCAGGTAGAGTAATCTCCTTCCCACAGAGCTGCTGTAGTGCTTGACTTGCTCTGCCCATCTCTCACCACTGCCACCAGAAAAACACCACGAAGGAGGGAGAGGCATTGACACTGATATTTTCATGCCTGTGAATACCTTGGAAGGTCATTCTCATGCAATTTATGACTGCGGAGAAGTAAAAGCAAGGCCAAAATCTTTAGTTTCTCAAGTCAAGCAAACCAAGTCACAGTGGTTTAACTCTATGTCATTTAATCGTTTTTTTTTAAGGGACAAGTACATTTATTTTTAAGAACATATTTCTGGAGGAAGTTTTACTCTTTATTTCACCTCTTCTCACTGTACTTTTACCAAAATGAATCCGCAGACACAAATACAAAAAAGTGCAACCCCAGTTTCAGTGCAGAGAAGGGAACAACTTCAGGTGTAGTAAAGCAGAAAAGAAGACAAGAAAAAACATATCTGTGGTCACAGTCAGGCACATTTGATCTTCCATCAGGCTAATTATTAAGGTGATATTAAGGACGTGATCCTTTTTTCTTTGTAGTTGTTTGTTTGTTTGTCTGTTTTTAGTTCTGTAGGAAATAAATGCTCTTCCCAATGACAGGAGGGAAGCTTTCTTACATGCTCAAAGAAAGAATGAAATAAAACACGTTCAGCATGTTAATAAGCATGAGAAAAGGGTTAGAAGTAGCAGCCTTTGCACCACCACCACCACAGATAAGAGAGTGCAGAGTTTACTGTAGAAGCAATAACATTCTGCCTCATCCAGAGAAAATGAGACCAGAGGCAAAAAACAGACATATGCTTGCCTGAAAATTTTAATGCGACATCTGCATACACATGAATTGTCTATGAAATAATAGGATGAATGTCTTCCTTCTGGGTTATAGTCTACCTGTGGAATTTAAAATAACATATTTAAAGATTAAAAAAATAAACCACACAAAGGATACTTCACTGTTCAGTATGTCACTCTGCTGTACTTTCCTGGCTTCGCTTCTGCAGCTAATGTTTACCGTAGACTGCTCAGGACTGAGCCAGCAGAATGCTAATGGAATCAGCAATGTACAGAGCTGAAACTAAAGGACTTCCCTTCTGTGCTTCAGCATGAGAATGAGGCTCTAATAGTCAACGTTAAGCTACTCTACTATCCTTTGTTATGTTGCTTTGCATTACATGCACTGTTAAGGTATGATATATTCTTTTTTTTTTAATTATTGTGGTAATACAGGCTTTCATTTAGTTTGTCAGATTAGAAAATGTTAGAATATAAGAAAATTTTATACAACTATCTGTGTCTCATGATCATGGTATGATCAGAGTATGCTCACAACTGTGTGCTTGTGCAACTAAATGTAACACATTCGTCTAATTCCTTTTGATAGTTTTCTATCAGGTAGTATATAATTAACATTTTAATGAGCATTTAGTATTTGTAGACTATAACCACATTGTGTGTTGCTTTGGAGAGAGAAAGTAGAAATTTGTATTAAGAACAATTTAAAGAGGAGGCCTTTCCTGGTAGTAACTACCTTACTATAATTTGAAGTGGCCTATATAACTCATGCTGGGGCAAACTCATTTCTGGTAAATGACACAGTCCGAAGTCATCTGAAGAACTGCTTTTCTTGTATCTTGTTTGTAAGCATCACAACTACTCTTATTAAGACATTATAATTAAAAACCATTTTAAAATAAGATAGTATGACTAAGAGGATGTGTTTGCGTCTTCCAGCATGCATAGATTTATGTGAGCAGGACTGCAAGCCCTATTCAGGTCAGGGATAGATGTGAATTTGGTTTTGATCTGTATGTCTGTATTGGGTGTCGCATCAACAGAAGCATAACATGGAAAGATGTCAAAGAATCTACCACATTTTTTGGTAGTTCCTCAAAGCTGGCCATTTAACCACAGTATGAAGCTGAATTCTATCTTTATTTATACTGGGAAGTAAATACAGTCCTTCCTGGTGTTATTTTTTTAAGAGCGTTCGTGTACTCTCATGTCCATTAAGTATAATGTAACACCTGAAACTACCTAACATGTTTACAAACCTAAAATGTAGAAAATATGTTGGCCTTTGGAAACTTCAGAAAATAAGGATAAGTAGAGGATTAATACGTTTTTCAAGTGATGCTTCTTGCCTTGTTAGCTCCTGTAATGCAACATGATTTCTTCTGCAAGCCTGATAGTACGTTTCAAAATGAATTTGAGATAAATTTGAATTTATGTAAGTTTTATAATCACTGCAATTGTATTCCTTTTTATTTCAGGTATTTCAGTCACTAAAGTTGGCTGACGTATGCTCCTTATCTTATATGAAGTAAAATAGTAGTAATTTTTGAAATATGCTTCTGTCCCTTAGTTTGTTATATTTTTCCCAACTATTCAGTCTTGGTCAGATTTTGCTAAAGCTGAAGTTCTGTGGGCATTTCAAAAAGCTCATTTCTAGGGGCAAAATAGAGACTGAAAACCCAAGACCACTGCTACCAAGCAGTGTATCTGTACATAGATCCATAGCTGCTGGGATGTGGATCCTGAAAAGCTCTTGGGAAAACTGTACTGCACATTTGCATGAATAATGATAAATTGCATCTCTAAGTCTTTTACTCTTTCCGTTCCTAAGAGAAAGAAAGAAAAATTACTTCAATCTGTGTTTAGGTTTGGGGCTGGTTTATTTTTTTGCTTGCTTCTTTGGGATTTCTTGTATTTCACAGTTCGTTTTGTTCCCTGGCACCGGAGAAATACTATGCAGATCAAACACTGTGCTCCTGCAATCCTTGT